ACGAGAGAAGAAGAAGAGAGAGAAGGAGGAGAGAAGAAGAAGAGAAGAAGAAAAGAGTAAAAAAAAAATCTGACGAGATTCGGAGAGAAGAGAAGAAGAAGAGAGAGAAGGAGAGAAGAAGAAGAGGAGAGAAGAAGGAGAGAGAGAGAAGGAGAACTTACCGGCAGATCCGAGAGCTTCGCAGATATCGCCTTTGCTGCCGGCAGATCTGTCTCTTCTTTCCACTTTTGCTTTTGGTTTTCTTTTTATTTTTTTGTTTTGTAACTTGTAAGATTTGTAATAAATAAATAAAAAGTAATAATAAACAATACAAAACCAAAAAAGTAACAAAACAATTAAAAAAATTCCCTTTTTCAGGCAGGCACGCCTTTTGAGCGCCTGTCGCCTTGCGCCTATTATACAAAGGCGGCCGCCCTATTCAACCTCAGCGCCTTAAGCCATTGGAGGCGACATGGTGGCGCCTTGCGCCTCAGGCGCGCACCTCCGGCGCCTTTAACAACTATGGTCTCACAGGTTTCTTCGGCTCTTTAGGATTGCTGTCAATAGGCATGCTGTGGTTGTTGACCTTTATCGACTCAATAATGGGAGGGTGACTTGAGATGTGCATGTGTAGTTCCGTAGACAGTTTAATGATTGGGAAATCTTGGAGATTACGGACTTCCTAGCCTTGATTTATCGCCAAGTGGTGACTGGGGTGGGCAGGGATGAAATGGTGTGGAAGGGCACATCCAAAGGGATATTTGAGGTTAGGTCCTTCTATTGTGATCTAATGGAGCGTTCTGGCCCCACTTTCCCATGGAAAGCTGTTTAGAGGACGAAAGCTCCATTGAAAGTGGCATTTTTTTCGTGGACTACTGCCCTGGGAAGTATCCTTACTCTTGACAACCTTAGAAGGAGGCGTCACATTATGGTGAACTGGTGCTACATGTGTAAGAAGTCAGGTGAATCCGTGAACCATCTTCTCCTTCATTGCTCGGTGGCAAGGGATGTTTGGTCTATGTTGAGACTTGGAAATGGTGTATAGTGGAGAGCCGAGTCAAAGATGCTTAGAGGGCTACTCCCCTTTGTATTTGGTGGGGTCTGTGGTGTGAGAGGAATAGGAAATCCATTGAGGGAGAGGAGTCTCCTATTTGGTCTCTTAAATTCAATATTTCTATCTACTTTATTCTTTTCGGTTAATGGGAGCGATTGTAACTCTATAGATTGTCTTTTGGACTTTGTGGATAACTTAAAGTTATAGTGCCGCCTTGGTCGGTTTTGTTTCCTCTAGGAGCGCTCCCCTTTTGAGATCCTTTCTTCAATATAATCTTACTTATCAAAAAGAGAAAAAAAAATTATTCGAGGGAGGAGAAGGTGAATAGAAAGGGACAAAGAGTTGCCGGCACGAAGTTTCAGAGTACCAGAGCTTAGAGAGGGTTCAAATCAAGGGTCAAGGAAGGTGGTCTGAGCAGGCGCCTGGGACACGTGGGGCAGGGAGACAAAAGGTATGGCCATGTGGTGAAGCAAAAGTTAATGGTAATACGTGGAAGGGGACAACTGTGGGAAGTCATGCAAGCCAAGCATTGGCAATCATATGGGTCATGTGATGGTAGCAGATGATTTTCAAAAAACAATGGACCGAGCACTGAAATTCAATATAGGTCTCAGCCTCTTATCCTAGGCCCAAAAGAAGAGGGTTGGGAAGCGCAGAGCAGGGAGACAAAAGGTATGGCCACGTGTTGAAGCAAGAGCTAATGGTAATCAGTGGAAGGGGACAGCTATGGACAGTCATGCAAGCCAAGGATTGGCTAATCGTGCTAGATCACGTGATGGTAGCAAAGGATTTTCACACAAAAATGGGTCAGGCATTAAAATTCATAATAGGTTTGGGCCTCTTATCCTAGGCCCAAACAAAGAGGGTTGGGTTGCTAAAGATGGCTTATTGATCATGGACCATTGTTATAAATCTAAACAAAAGGAGGCTAACCCAAAATCAAAACACGAATTGGGAGATAACAAGAGGACGGGCTGGGCCTTTAAAGACTCAGATTAGTGTGACCAAGGAGAACTAAACACAGCCCAAGAGTGGGAGCAATACCGAGGGCCAAGCCCAAGTTTCGCAATGCAGGAAAAGGACATGGGTCAAAAAACAGAAATGGATCACTTCGACTAAACCCAATCCAACACATCCTAATGAACACGTCAGTGAGCCTAATTTTAAACCCAACTAACACCAACCCAGCAACTTCACTTCTTCTGGGTTTCGTATGATGAGTATGGGAGTTGGACTGATGATCACCAAGGTGGTTCCGACATGGATCACCACCAACGAAATCAATCATCAGAGGGATGAAAAGGTTTGGCAGATGTGAACAGTGAGCTGGGTGTGATCACTATTTGTGTTGGGCAAGAGATTCAACTGAAATTTCGGTCAGACCAAGCGGCAGCTCTTGTGGCAGATTTACACTTTCACAGTGGGTCGGGATCAGTGGATCAGTCAAGGTAGGTACAACAGTGGGTTATTGTTTGTTGAATGCAAGACAGAGGGCTGATTGTGAGGCGTGGGATAGCTTGAACCAAAGGGATGGGGTGGGCTCCTCTTCAGTTTGGAAATCTTCAGATGGGTTTGAAAAGGAGGAGGATGCAGAGTTCCCAGCCAATCCTTTTGACTGCTCTTGGGATGTCGTGTTGCGGGAGGAGTATGCAGAGTGTTGGGGGTAGTGCATACCACTATACCAGCCCCTAGGAGTGGTGGGGCCTGAGGGAACTTGTCAACTTGATGATTCTATTGATGGTCCCGATGAAATCCAAGAGGCGGCCTGGTTGATGGAAAATATCGGAGAGGTGAGTAAAGATTTGGGATTAACCTACGATGGGAATAGAGAGAGGGTGATGGAGTTGTTTCAATCTATTGATGGGGAGTGACAAGTGGTTAGGAGGAGGAGGGGTTCTTTATCAAGAGGGGAGAGGGAGCTTCGTAGTCTCATTTTCTGTAAAGGGGGGGTGAAGAAGGAGAGAGGGAGAGAGAGGGAAGAAGAGGGGGTGGGAATTCCATAATATCCACATAAAGCAATGGGTAATGTCTTGGAATGACCGGGGTCTAAATGACTTGGATGAGCATAAAATGGTGAAACTATCCTTGAAGAAGTGTTGTGCTCAGTTCGTGTGTTTGCAATAGTCAAAGCTTGCTTCCTCTTCAGATGGGATTGTTCGGAGTTTGTGGGGTGGGAGATTTGTAGAGTGGGAGGCATTGGATGTGGTTGGTTATGCCGGAGGCATCCTCGTTACGTGGGATAAGAGGTGGGTCTCTGTTAAAATAGTCAGATTAGGACATAAATGTAATTAGTTTACCCCACAGGGGCACTTTAGTCTTTGTATTGTCTATTTACTCTTGTACATAACCATATATAATGAAAGTGTGTGAGATAGAGATTGCAGCTCCCTAATACAATTTTTCTCAAGTTCAACATCTTTTCTTCTAAAATTCTACTCTCAACATGGTATCAGAGCGGGCTGCATTCAACATCATGGGGGTGTGAGATTGAAATTTTGTTCGAGATTGCAGTAGTTGTTCTCGTAACAAGGGCAGTAGTTGTTTTTGTAGTGATCGCAACCGAATCAGCTGCATTGTTCAGATTGCTTGTAGTTGTCAGGATCACCGTCGTCGTCGTCGTCGTCGTCGACATTATTGTCATCTCATCCCAGTTTCGCCGTATCAGCCCATCGTTTCAGTTCACCGTCGTCATCGCCACATATATATATATATATACACACACACACACACATACATACACACAGCGGTCTCTGTTTTTTCTGGTCATCTAACCCTAGTTTGGAGAAGACGGGGTGTGTTTGGTTGTGAAGTTTGCTTGTTCCAAGTCTGAACAACCCGATCCAGATTTTCTCTCCAGTTTGACTCGGACGGAGCAACCTGATCTGACACAATGTCCAGCTTGCACAAAACACCTGGGACCCCACTGCTCAGTCTAGAGTCCACTCCACAATCACCAGTAAGGACTATATTTTCAGTATACAAGTTCCCCAATTCTAAACTTCCATTATTCTTAGAACATCAAACCACCTCCCATCGAACCAATTCTCCCAACACTCGCATTAAATTACCCAAAAAAAAAGTCTTCTTGAAGCTTGTCTAATCTATTAACAATCCATACTGGCGTCAGGCATCTAACAGAGAAAGGTAGTACATAACATTATTCGACATATAAGACTGGATACAAGTGATTCCACCATCCTCTGAGTTCCAACCATCTAGCCTCTTCTCCACTCACTCCACCGCACAAGGTCCAAAAATTTTAAGACTCGGGGTTAGCACCTAAAGGAAGGACCAAGTATATGATTGGCCAATTAATAAAAACTAATCTAGAGACGTTATCGATTTGTCAATTCCGTCACCATCTGCACATACTGCAGCGATACCAGCCAAATCACTCTTGGAAAACCTAATACATTCTTGAAACACTACCCCAGGAGAAAAAGAGAACAAAATTTCTCCGCAGCCAAGGAAGAGAAGAAATGTTACACGAGAATTAAAGATGTGAAAATGCATTGAAGATAATTAGAAACAAATCTAATTGAAGTGGCCCCCAGCTACAACTCAAGGTCTGAAATTAATTCTTCAATGGAGTTATGCATTTAAATTTACAATATGAAACGGTAAAATCTTGGGTCATCAAACATGATAACACAGGTTTGAATCTGAGGGCAGCCACTTTGTTCAAAATAATGACAAAATTAGGTTTTTCCAGATCTCCTCTCCTGCACCCCATTCAGATGAGACCAGCACTGGATAATGGCCGCATTGTTAAATAGGAATATATCAATTTTTATGCCACATTACAAGTTAAAACCAAAGGTTTATAGAAGAAATCCCAAGTGCATAAGAAAACCACACAAGTACGAGCCATCATATCCAACAGATACAATGATAATAATGCAATAAAGATAGGAAACCAATTAAAAGAAGGTACCACACATAAAGAGAAGATGGTAAAGTATCATACCAAGAAGTTTGTAGTAAGACCTATAAATAATTGATGTACCATCGATGAGCATTACTCTTCCACTGGAAGAATCATAATCCATCATTCTATCTTTTTGCTTCCCAGAATCAAAATTTGTTTCTTGACGTAGTGTTCGTTCGCGTTCAGCAGAAAGTCCCATAATACTAGAAGTTGCATGAGGAATTTCACGTGTATCTGAACTCAAACTATTGGATAGTTTACAGTAACCCTGAAAGAAAAGACCACGGTAAATAGTCACATTTTTCTTCTTCTTTCATTTTTTTTTTTTTTTTTTTGACAAGTAATTGTCATGAAAAAGTGCTCAAAAAGTTGGATCATTAAATCTAAACCTCAATGAAATATATTCCAGCATGCATTCTGCAAAAATGGTAAATTCAGTATCTCAATCAAAAGAGAAAATAATAACACCAATTAGAAATTGTGTAGATACTGTACATATAGAATTCTCTTAGAGGCTAAACTGATGGTCCCCCTATTGCTTTTAAATTGTCAGATGATGCATAGCAAATCTGTCTTCTCCTCTTACTTTCTTTAATAGCTATAGCATATATATGTATAATACATGCCTTAATTCGATTGTAAACGGATATTTATTTCCTTACTCTGCAAAGAAAAAATAAAAAGAGAGGAAAGAAAAATTTGTGGTTTGTGGTTGAAAGTAGTCAGCATGTCAAAATTTGCCTTTATCATTGGTGTGTCAAGGACACTTCTTCAAAGCTTTTTTTTTTTTTTCAAAGCTATATCATATAGATGGCTAAAGGTTTTCAAAGAGTGGTCTGGTGTGTGACATCCGCTTCCAGAGGCCTTTGCAGCATTAGGAGAAATAGAGGCATTGACATAATGTATGATCAAATTTCTTCTAACGGACTGGAGGATACATTGAGGTGGATAGAATCTAGGAGGAATGATTTTTGGTAAGGTATTTCTGTAAGCTGCAGGGAGCAGGTCATCGAGGTTCCTACAAAACACTACTTAGCACACAAAAGCTGCGTCCTAAAAGTTACTCTTTTAGCTGGACAACACTCTTTTGAAAGACTTTGACCAATGACAACCTTTTAGGGCCTGTTTGGCAACTGCTTTTGCTTCGTGCCTTTGCTTTGGCCTGAAACAGAAGCAATGTTTCTGCTTTAGAGTGTGTTCAACACTATTTCGAAACTTGTTTGTTTACGTAAATTTGCTGCAAGATTTTTGGAAGCAAAAACATGAAAGCATGTTTGGTAAAAAGTGTTGCAAGTTTGAAATTTTGAATTACTAGTTAATAATATCATTTTAGCTAAAAAAAAACCTTTTTTTTTTTTTTAACAGTGCTTTGCTACAGTGCGGAAGTAAAAAAAAGCATCATTTTTGTGCTTCCGATTTTGGCCTCAATTTCAAAAGCGTTTTGGTACTATTCAAATGCCAGCAAACGTTACCAAACATGCTTTGTGGTTTTGCTTTGCTACAATATACTAGCAAAAGCAAAAAGCACGAAGCAAAAACATTAGCCAAACGGGCCCTTAAAGAGCGGACATATCACAGTTATATGATACGCGTGCATGTGAGTGTGTGTGTGTGTGTGTGTGTGTGTGTGAGAGAGAGAGAGAGAGAGTATCTGGTGGCTAAAGATTTTCAGTCGCAGGGTGATGCCAAGGTTGGTGGAAGAGGTGCTCTCTAGTTGGAGAAGCATAAAGTAAGGAAGAAAGTCAGAGAGGTATGGCATGTAGCTCTGCTTTGTCTTTAGTGAAGCATTTGAGGTGAGTGAAAGATGACTTTCAGGGACGGCCCTATTTGGGCTCTTAAGAATATCTTTGGTCAGTTCCCTATTTTTCTGGGGAACAAGGGACTCCTCTTGTTGATTGATTCTCTTATTGAGTCTTTCAAAGAGATGAGAGAATGGTATCTCTAGTTAGCTAATGTATACAGTGACATACACTGTTTATGTAGGTACAAATCCATATTTGGTGCTTTTAAGGAAATATTTACTTACCAAAGAAGATGAAAAAATGAAAAGAAAGAAGATGAAGGGAGAAATAATTTATATTGTCTACTGAACATACGGTCATTCCCAACCAATGACATGTAGAAAATCTACAATTCAATACATGTCGCCTACGGAAACGGTCAAACTTTACATTCTTCGTTCTCTCTTCAATTATGTGAAGAGGAGCTTTTGTTCTTCTTCATATGATTTAATTACTTTTTTGGATTCTTTGGGGCCTTAGCCCCGGTTCCACTTTTGTAATTGGGACGCGTTGCCCTCTTGAACGCCTTTTTTTTAATGTTATTTTTACTTATCAAAAAAAAAAAAAATACATGTCATACACCTATGTAAATATCACTTGAATGATATTCATTTAAACACACCAAAACCTGTAGCGTAGCGTATCTACTCTAGTTTCTAAGGTAAAAGTCGATAGCTCAAGTCCCATTAGGAACAAAAAGTGGGTGTGGGAATTTCTTGCCATGGTTAAATAATAATAATAATTGTTTGTTACAACAAATGAAGCGAATCCAAGAAACAATAATCACGAAACATGACAGAAAATAAACACACCACACACAAAGAATACAAATATGTTGTTTAGAAAAGCATACATCCACGGTGAACATCCAGCGAAAGAATTCATTATGTGAAAATCTGGGGATTACAAGTTTGTCCCCAAACCCTAGTTCTCGCTCTCACTCTCTTTCCTACGATTCTCAATGTCTCTCGATATCCCACTCCAAACCCTAGACACCCTTATATATCAGGCTACAAGAGAATACTAAACAGGGTCCACGACCCGCAATAAAAAAATAAAAAATAAAAAGGGGTCAAAACAAATCTCAATCAACAGGTCGTTGGGTCGGAAATGGGCCACAACATCACATCATAATTTTTGTTATTATTATTATTATTAGGGTGAACAATATCAATATTCCAAGGCTTGTTGTGCTTAATTCATATTTATGGTTAACATCAAGAACCCCAGGAGAAGGTCCATGTTAAATTAGAAACCTCAGGTACAGCATCCGATATCAAGAAAAAACATCTTTTGAGGTTTTTGATATTTGCACAAGATGTATAATCAAGTATTACCTTCCTAAACAATATGGATGATGAATGAGTCACAAATGGTGCCGTGATGCTGCTCAAGTGTACACCCCTCTGATTGATTGAAAACTTCCTTGTATAGTAATAAAGACTCCTCCCAAGGCATGCCATGAGTTCATGCCAACTTGTCTCTAGATTTGCCACTGGTCCTTCGGTGACTAAAGCATTAAAATCAGCATCTGAGATCTACAGAGACGTGAAAGTTCTCAGGAAAAAAAAGGGGTGTTTAAATAATATAAATGACATACTTATCCAGAAGAAAAACAAAAGTTACATGCAAAACAAACTGGATACAGTATGTGTATCAAATGGAATGGACCAAATGCAACCATAATGCCAACCAAAAAAGTATATTGAAACTACTCTCCATAAGTTTAGATCCTGCACCTACTATCCAAATAATTAGGATTACTTATTCAAATGGAAAAATTAGGACGATGCGCGAGGAATCAAAGCGGACTAAGGATAGAAAAGACTGGAAAAAGTATGCTGGTTAGCAATAAATCATGTTTCCAGATAATATGGAAAGCCAAATTGAAGAGTGTCACGAGTGATGTTTAGCTAGAAACAGACCCCTGGAGCATGCTAGGCATAAACAAGACTTCCAAGAAAGGTCGTCAATTATTCTATAATAGGAAAAATATTTTGAAAACTGTTTTTATGTTTGTTGTACAAACCCATTAGTATATGTTCACAGTTGAAGTACTTTTTATAATTATTCACACTTTGCAGTTATATTCCTATCATGCTGGTGACGATATCCAAAACAATCTAGAGATTGATGTTCATATTGATCTTGCTTTCTCTTATCCAAAACCAAAAGTTATGCTTCATAACTTGTGGAGATTACAAGACAACTAAGGTTTGAGATGTTGCTACTGGTTCTAAACAATACGCTTTTGAGGGTCATGAGGACGCTATTTATTCTGTATGCGCATACAATAAGGAAAAGGTTCATTGCATCTTTTCAGCAGCTATTGAGAGTAAAAAGAATAAATCTGATTTGGCAACATCTTCTCACAGAGGAGACTCTGAAGATATAAACATTGAACTTAGATATAAACATTGAACTTCAAATGGTATGTGGTACAACAGGAATTACATCACATTTTGGTTGCTTGAATAACTTGGTTTAGAATTAAGCTTCCTTGCTCTTGGAGTTGAAAAATCATGAATTCCATATTCGTGATATGATTTGGGATGGATTCTTGGCGCGACATATGGCCAGATGTTGTTCAACTTGTTCCAATGCAAAAAATCAGATTAATTCAGGCCTTGGTTCCTGATATGTTGTCAAGGAGGTTTTGGCAATCTACTAAATTTCAAAAGAGAGCTAAGAAGGTTCATTCAAAGGTATTCTTTGCCAGCAACAGAAGCTTACTGTGTTTTGCTCAAGTAAGGAAACGAAGAAAGAAAGGATGGAAGGCTTTACTCGGGTTCTTCATTGATCATGGTAAATTGTTTCAAACTCATGGTCGAGTTTTCTTCAAGGAGAAGGGTCTGATGCAAATCAATAAGGGTACTTTAGTCAAGATTGAGGAAGTCAATGGTGCCTTAGAAAGTGCCTTGAAGAAAAGTCAGAGTCCTTTTTGTTTTACTAAGCTTTGGAATTACTACGTATACTTAGGAAAGTGGTAAAGTCTAATTGATGTAGTATGCGAATTCTAAGATTTATTCTAGGAAAAGTCAAGTGTCATTAATAGTAGTAGTATTACAAAAAGGACAGTCTCTTATCAGCCGTAACCAAGTCATAATCAATATATTTTGAGTTATTATCAGTTATAAACAGTTCTTCAGCCTCGACGGTGATTGGAGTATTTCTAGTCTCTCTTACTGTTGTAAGAAGACTTCTGTTTTTTCTGTTTGCTTCAGAGACTTGCCTTAAACCTAATATGCTTAAGAAATCTTTCCAACCCTTTCTCATGTGTTTCCACACTCCCACCCTTGCCAAATGATACACCCCCCTAGAACACTAGCCACCACTCTCCTCTCCAATCTTCCTCTCAATAATTATTCTCCATAGTCAGTTCCACTACATCCTAAATCTCCATAGCCATTTCCCTAGCAAGGTTAGGTTAAAAGAGGTAACTGCTCTGACTCCCAAGACATCCACTTCACATTCTGATGATCTGATCTTCATTTATTAACAATGTTGTCCCTCCCTTTTTAACCACCACTACTCCCTTCATAGTTCACAAAAAAAAAAAATAATGTTCTCTAATTCCTCTTCTCCCATTCCCAGAAAATCCCCTCCACCCCTTCTTCATCCCACTCTCCTCCATCATGTGCTATCTCAAATTAAACGTCTCAAAATCCTAATAGCGTCTTCTTCGTGCCATTGATAAAATAACCCCAACATTTAGTTGACCCCTTTGATGCTAAAACATTGATTCTTTGTGCATTGATAATTATGAATTCCAAAAGTTCCTTCCTGCTAAATTAGTTCCGCGAAGAGTACAAATTCCAATCATTGATGATGCTAGTAATAATTCCTCAACTACCAATCAGATTAGTGTGTGTAGTCCACTCTATGGTCTGGGTCTAAGATTGGATAACAAAAATACGAAAATAGGAATCTGCACGCTATGATTGACTCATAGCTAAACACGTTCCTGCCAATGATAATACACTTATCACAGCCTTCAAAACAAGAAATAATACTGGGCAATTAACAGGAACCTTCTATCTATGAAGCTTCTATAAATTTTAAATGCTATAAAGTTTTCTAAACTAATAATAATCTAACTAAAATTGTGTGCTGAACTGTAACATTGCACCACTTTTCACTATATGTGCTTCTAGTTTTCTTTTATTTACCTTTTCTGGCAAAGTCCATAGAACCTAATATAGCATCTGATCTGCATATATCTATGTGTGTGGGCGTGCGCGCGCATGTGTTTAATGTAACATGCAATTGCATCTGCACATCTATATGACAAAACAAACATCTGATTCAAGCATGTGTACCCAAGAGAATTAACTTTCAGGAAGCAAGAAACAAGGTCAGATTAAGTGCATTTCAACAAAGTTCAGCAGAATGCAAATATCTAAAGTAACTTACTGGTGCCATATAAAACATTAAAACGTCAGCAATTTTGTTCTTTGCCCGATGGGCAACAAAGTGACTAGAGCCCCTCATATTAATACCGTCTTATGTACAAGGTCGGAAAAGATCAATTTGCCTTGTAATAATTCAAATGGTAGTAGTTTAAAGGAAAAGAGAAGCATAATGCTCATGCCTTCACCAATGTGGCAAAATCGAAGCGAGACATTAAAAAATTTATATAGTTAACAGAGGTACATAATTGTGTAAATTTGCAGATTTAAGGTGTTACTAACTCAAATCCACGTAGAGCAATTCACAGAAGACATAATGAAGGCGATAGAATTTGGAAAAAATCTTTGTCTGGGGTAAAGAAAGTACTGCTAAATAGAATACAATACACAAGAAAGTGCTTCCAAAACAGATAATAATAAAGAACAGAAAACATGCATACACACAACAGTGCTGCGCAAAAGTTTATATTAGACCATTTGGTTGTTCATTATATCAGAAACTGAATCATTTTCCCGTGACTGATGTAGCCGTCTTAATAATAAATAGTAAAGAGAAATCGTAAATGTTGCAGCTCATTACATTGAATGTCATAACAAAGATACACAAGATTATGACAATTAATTATACAGTGCAAAATGAAGAAGAATACAACAAACCACAAGTAATACTGAGATAAAAATCAAAAAACATGAAAAGATTGAACAGAAAGTAGAGAAAACTGAGAACCAAAGTTGATTCAAACAGAAACCGAGAAGGAGAACAAACTGGGTTATGCGAATTGGCGACGCAATGAGCGACTTCTCACAATCGTCAACTGACAAAACACGACTCGCTCTAGAAGAAGATTCAAAATCGATTCTGACAATGATAATGCAAAGTTTGCGATTGATGAAGATTAAGCCGAAACTGAAGTCGTCAATTTCACAAAGCCGAGGTTGACCGAAACTGAAGTTGCGATAAAATACGAACAAAGAGAAGTAGAAAACTGTGAGAACGAAGATGAGGCACTAATGAGTTTGCGCACTTGATTAGTCCTGATGAAACTGAAGCTAATCTCCCAAACACAAACCCAAATCTTATCCTTCGACTTCGAGCCTTCAAAGAGCGACGGCCGACAGGAGCCCTAGAACACAGATCGTTTTTTCATTTCTTTTCTTGTTTCGAAAAACATAAATGGGTAAAGAAAATCAGTGGCTAAAAGACGGCCAAACAGAACAAAATTGGGCCCATAAACCCAAACGTTTTATTTCTATTATGGGCCCAATATTTTTTATTTCTGTATCAGTTTTTTTTCTGTAGGATTAACTCTTTTTTTTGGCCCAAATTTTGAGGCCTAGTATAGGTATATAGGTTGGGCCAAAATTTGAGGCACCCCAAATTTGGAGGCCGCCAATTGATGGTGTCAATTTCATGTGTTGTTCAATTCGGTGTATGGATTCTCAACTTCGTAGCCACCAGAGTTTGAAAAAAGGTAAAAAAAATAAAAAATAAATGGTTAAATTTGGTTAGTTTCAATATTTTTGTGAACTATTGAATGTGTTTGTTCAACATGCTAGTAATGGTGTCAATTTCAAGTGTTATTGTTGAGTTCAATTATGCCATTTGGTTGGTATGTGGATTGTAGCCACTGAGTTTGATAAAGGTCAAAAAAAATATTGTTGAATTTGGTCAATTTCAGTATTTTTGGGTACTACTGATTGTGTTACTTGTAAAACTAATTATGGTGTCAATTTCATGTGGTGTTGTTGATTTCAATTCTGGTACCTGATATGTCTGTAGATTTGTTTTTGTCTAGCCACAAAAGTCATTTTTTTTTTGCTGAGTTGATATATCCATTTTTGTTGAGGTTTTTCAACTCTGCTTTGTTGTTGATGCTCTGCATGCTGCTACTGAATTGGTGATACTCTCCAATGATGTTATTGAAATGGTACTGTTCAATGTTGGTACTCAGTTGATGCTACTCACCTTCTTCTTAATTGTATGGTTCATGCACAAAATTGGACATTTTTCTTCTTATTATTAGCTTTATGGACAGAATTGGAACTCATTTTCTTGTAATTTTCAATTTTGTGCATCTGCTTTGGACCTATTTATATTATTGTGATTTTTAGATTGGAGGATAGACTTGGAGTTGTTTTCCTTAACACTACAAACAATTTTGACCCTATTGTAATCTTCATGAATATTATATTTTTATAAGATTTATTTATTTAAGACTAATTTTCAGATTGTGTGCAGCCCAATATAGATTTCACTATTTATTTGGTAGTGACAATAATGTATGTACCATTATGATTATCTTCAATTGTTCTGCAACTTACCATCAAAACTTGAGTTAGGGCCAAACACACAATGTCATATCCACATCCACAATTCAATTAAACCTTTTGCACTTCAAGGCCAAACACTTGAGTTGGGGCCAACCTTTTTTCTCATTTTAAAAAAGTTCAATTGAAACAATTATTAAAATCATATTCAAATGATAACAATATTATTATTGTTGGCTAAAAAATACATTCAAACATCTTTCAAACAAGTTTTTGTATTCAAGAAAAAATTTACTACAAATTAACATAGCAAGATTAGACAAAGGACCAAGGTAAGAGACCAATGCATGGATTTTAGTGGTATTCAACTAAGGCCCTGTTTGATATGCATTGTGTTTTTGGCATTTTGTTTTAGCCAAAAACAAAACAAGTGTTTTGTTATGAAGTATTCTGAGTTGAAAACGGAAGCATGTTTGGCGACGAAAATTTGTAGTGGGAATTTCGAAAACAGAAATATTGTATAACATGTTTTGCAAGGTCCTTCATTTCAAGAAATTTAAAAGCCAAAACATGTTTGGCAGAGTCAAACTGTTGCCAAAATTGCTGAAACAAAAATAAGAAACATATTTGGTAAAGAGTGTTTTTAATTTGTTTTTAAAAATTTAAAATATATTAATACATTATATTTATATATAATACTTATATATAATACATTTTAAAATTAGAAATTATGGTTTAAGACTTCAAAATTTTTATTCTTATTTTAAAGAATATATCATTGTGATTAATAGCATCACTTTCATAAGTGCTTGCAATTGAAAACTTCAACTGAAAATTGAAAATTGATATTGCTCATTTTCCATTAGTGATTGTGAATTGCATCTACTTAGTGATGTTAATCCATTTCCCATTAGTTATATTACTCCATTTTCCATTACTAAATTGCATAGCATCTATATGACACTTGCAATAAATCTGTCACATAACCTATTTAAGTAAAACCTGAATTCAGACAATCTCCTACAAAAAGAAAAGAAAAAACACAAACTAAAGGCATTCAAGACAAATAAATTCCAACATCTGCAAAGACTTGTATTGCAATCAATATTCTCTAAAAGTAACATCAAAGCAAAACTGTAATTAAATTTTCAAAGGAAAAACTAATGTCAACCTTCTATCAATTCCCACTGCATAAAAGATACAAGTTACACAAATAACAGCAGGAAATGAAAGCTAGCCTCCCTTGTTACAGGGATAGAAATTAAAATACAGATTGAATATTACAAGGATGTTACAAGTGTGCAGAATGCCATTTCAAACTTTTATAGCAATGAAAATACAAGGATGATACAAGTGAGAGAGCATCCTTGATACACAACAACATCAGAGCCTTTTCTTCAACCAAAATGCATATCTTTGAAGAAACTTTCAGTATGGAAGCTTTCTCAGTATTTTGAGAAAATGACCTCAAAATGAATTCTGTCATAACAGTTCATTACACAGCAGCAACCATATGCAAAAGATGAGCACATAACATCACCCAATTGTACACAGAAACATATGATAACAAGAAATGAAATATACCAAGTATGAAATATGTTTGCTTAATTTTTTTCTAGCTCATTTAAAAAAATTTAGAAGATGACCTTAAAAGGTATCCCAAATAGCAATCACATTATACAGCAGCAACCATATGCAAAAGATGAGCACAACATCACCCAATATACGAATTATGCACACAACAACATAAAGACATTACCTAACTCAAGTAGAAGTAATACACAACAGTCTGCTAAACTAAAAGTTCCAAAATATACCTTTTTTCAGGCCCATATTTCTATCTTTCACTCAAGATGCATCATTCTATATAGCTAAGTATTGACGATCTCGAAGGAAAGGTAGCATTTTATATTTTACTTCAGTGTATTGCTGATATGGAATTTCCTCACCTTTTATTTCCAAATTTCTTTTTGGTTAATATTTTAGAATCAACACAAAGGGCCAAGGTTTCTTTTGCAAATAGAAAGTGGAACTAAGTTTCTAAAGGGCTTTTTTTGTTGTATGGACTATCTTTCTTCATTTGGTGTCAATATCTAGCTTGCAATAAAATGACGGCTTTTTATTGGTTCAGTATCGCATTGTATGTCCAATCGTAGAATCTTTTTATTATCAAAGAATATAAAGAAAAGGTAGAAAAATATTTTCTGGTACTTTAATTTATTTATTTTTGATAGGGTTGTTTTAGACACCAGTTCAACATGAAGAGAAGAAGCTCATCAAAGACCATATTTTGTTTCTATTTGTATTTCTCTGTTGCTCTCAATACTGTCATAATCAAAATCTTCCTGCCCAGAACTTTGGGTATTACTGTCAGAACTTGATAGGCTTTGTTAAGAAAAATTTCTAAAGTTTTACATCTCTACAATTTTTATAGAAGCTAAAACTATACAAAATTAAATCTGTAAAACAATTACGCCCTGTAACATATTATTCAAAATTAACATACACATAAACACACAAATACAGTACGCAAAGTAATCTGTCATACACACAAATACAGTACGCTAAAACTTGTAATATTCCTCAATTCCATCAATTTTGAACACAAGATTGGAAGTAATCTATAATACACACAAATACAGTACGCAAAATTAAAATTAGGGTTTCCTCAATTCCATCGATTTTTAAATAATACTCAATTCCGTCAATTTTGAACACAAAATTCGAAAAAATCAATCATAACCATGTATACAAAAGGTGAAATTATACAATAAATAAATCAAATTAGGGTTTCAACAAAATCTGATTTTAGTTTAAAGAAATTCCAAATAAATACTAATATTCCTCTAATATGTCAATTCCGAAACATAAAAATTGAGGAAATCAGAGGGTAAAACTAAAAACGAAAATATTAAGGTTTTCAAAAACTTCAAACTTCCAATGAAACTCCAAATTTGAACTCCATGTGTGGATTTCCAACCGCAAAAAAAAAAAATAAAATAAAAATAATAATAAGAATAACTCAAACACACCCACAATTTGCAGATATTCGAAGAAACTTGTCAAACCTGTCGAGGTCGTCGAAGAAAACAACAAAGCAATGAAGATCGTTGAAGGTTTTGACCGAAAACAGCAGTGTGAGCTTCGATCAGTGTTCGTTTTTAGCCAACATACGCAGTCACCGACAATCGCCAAAGAGAGGAGGAGAGAAAATGGAACCTTAGAAAATGGAACATTCACCTTTTATATGTGCTTCAGTTGTTGTCTCCGCTACAGTAAAATGAAGGGGTTTGTTTACTTCGCTACCGTGAATATTATGGGCCAAACAGTGCCGAAACAAGCAAAAACACTTGAATGGTGTTTTAGGGCCTGTTTAGTAACTATTTTGTTTTAGGTGTTTTTGTTGCAAGGCCTCATTTTAGGCCCAAAACATGTTTGGTAGCTGTTGCTTTGTTTTAAACAGTATTAAAACATTATCAAAAGTTGGGCAAAAAAATGAAACACCAAAATGGTGTTTTTCCTTGTTTCAATACTGTTAGCCCAATAGAAGCACTATAGCAGAGGAAACAAGTTTAGGTCGATCACTGTAGCGGAGGAAACAAGATTAAAAGCTACATGCAACATTCAACCCGATATTTTCTCTCTCTTCTTAAACCTTAGACGTCTAGCGATTTGGGAGGCGGCCCAAACGAACCTCGCGATATTGAAGAGTGTAAGTCCTTTGAAGCCTTAAAACATTTGTAATAGTGTGATTACAAGTGTTCTTTTATTCGAGAGGCAATTTGTTTTCTCTCTTGCAGTTGTGTAAGGTGATTTCTTTTCTCTCTTATAGTTGTGCGAGGCGATTTCTCTCTCTGTATTCAGCATCAGAAAGAAGAAGCAGCAGCAGCAGC